TTCTCAAAAAAAAAAAAAAAAAAAAAAAAGAAATTAAAAATAAGAATAATTCCTCGTTCGTTCTATAACGTAGCCACTAGCTCTGTTTTACGTCACCACTGATCCAAAGACTTTAACTTGGATTTCTTTTTAATCACCTGCTCCGCTCAACTTTACCTCGGTCGATTCCTTCGGTGCTTCGATTCCCAACAAACTTACTTTCTAACTTGGAACTTGTTTCGAAACTAACCCGAAATATTTAGGTCGACTGTTATCGGAATCGGTCTCGTGCGATGCGAAAAGCCGTCTCGATTTCCCTAAAAAATTGGAAGTCGGAAGCCGAACGGATGGAAGAAACGACGCAATTTCGCGGCGACTAAGAATTTCGAATTTTCTGGTATGACGGTATTCGCGAAACTGAAGTTTGCTCGAAAGTTTCGCAGGAACTTGCGAAGAAACCACGCTCGGTAGCCGCTGGCGGGGATTCTTTGTCACTGGCGTGTCACGTGCAAGATATTTCTTTATTGTGCACGCCACCACAGACTATCGTCTTATTTTCGCGACTGAATATCTTGAATCAATTTAATTTGGCTTTAGATTATGTTTTATCTCGCCCCACTCTTGTTTTTCGATCGTAACTGAAAAACCGTCACTGTCTTCCAAATTCTTTGCGGAATAAATTCCTCAATTTTTTGTTCAATCCTGCGATTCTCCAACCGACCAAAGATAATTAACCCTTAAAGTCTAACGACTATACCTAGCTGGCTATATCTGTCCCAGATGTACCTGGTATATTTTTGCAAGTGAAAAATTCAACGAGTTAAAACCAAGTTGAAACGTCCAGTAGCGTATTTAGGGATATAGAAAGTAGCGAGTTGTTGTATCTAAATTTGTATTTAACTAATTACCATCTAATGACAAAATCCGCAATCGTTTAATTGCCAACGCAATAGCAAACTTATCGTTTGCAGCGGTGTCTTGTAAATGAGATTGCGGCACGATGATATTAAAAAATTCGCACCAGGTGAAATTTTATTCGGCATCGTCGTCCAGGGATAAACAACGCGATCGAATGGAGAAAATAGGTACATCGGGACAGTGTAGTCTAAATTCGGAAGAAATTTTCCGCGTTACGAAAAGAGTAGTACGATACTAATATCAATATCGAGGCTTTCGCAATTTGAAATTTATCACGCTCCGGACGAGCAACTTTTTCATTTAAAATAGGAAACGATGGTTTAAGTGGACGAACAAAGGGGAGGAAGCGTTTAATTCGAAGTGAAATAACGTTTGAGCGATTCCGAAGGTTTACGAGTTTCGACTAACACAAACACTGTTTCGATTCGAATGCTCGGAAAATTGTAATGGCTCAAAATAATTTCAAACGCGATACGATTCCGATCGATAGGTTTTCGTAATCGGTACGATTTAAGATGAAACTTAACAGTTTATTTAAACGGATGGAAAACACGAGCAACGTAAAATTCTAATTTCGTTGTAAAGACGGAAGAATACAGAACGTAAGTAGGTCTGGAACGTTTTAGTTTTTCGAAAACGCGTTTCTTCTTTTCCTGGCTCGTTCTCCGACGAATACCGTGACCCTCGAACCGTAACCGTTGACCGTGACAAGTTGGCCGAGGGGAAAAAAGTTGTCGCTACGAGAAAAATAAAACTAACGATCGTCGTTATCACGGCGGCCTCGGGTTATCGCGCGAAACGATTGTTAAAGGCCTAAAAAGGTTAAAGCAAAATTTACACTTGTTTCGAGGTGTAAATGTGTCTCGGGATTCGCCTACTATTTCCGGTTATATCGCCTGTACTTCGTCTATAGATTTTTCGAAAGAATCCCACGTCTTTTATACATTATCGGCGTTAATTCGTCAAACATCCTGATCGCTTAATTTCTGATCGTTTCAACGATCTTACTCGTATTAAACATACGTTATTTTTATATTTATAGTGCATCGACGGTCGTGGTTCTGCGTTCTGTTCACACGTGCGTTTCCTTACATTGCATGTGCCAGCACCTCCATATCACGTTGTTCAGTCTAATCTTGTCCTTCCATCTCAGCCTGATCCCTTTGAACCGATTCCACTTGGGCGATGTCAATTTCTGTCTGGAACAAATTCAAATGCCCATACGTCATACCACTGTAAACCCAAATTCCCAGCGTTTGATCGACGAACCGCGTGCATTTCACACGAGTTCGCCGTTTCGTTCTACGAACGCTGTTATAGAAAATAAACGAAATATTCGTTGGACGAAGGTGGAAGATAAATTTCAATCGCTGTACTTGAGAAACTTTCTAACGATTAAAAAAAAAAAAAAAAAAAAAGAAAAGAAAAAAGAAAAAAGAATACAATTTGGTCAGAGACGATGGAAAGAACGCAAGAGAAGTTGAACAATACGTGAAAGTGAAAATGTGCGAATCGATCGTAAAATGACTCGAGCTAAAAGTTATTTACTCGAATCACCGTAAAAACAAGATATAGCCGGAGAAACATCTTAAAACGAGCGAATGTAAATGGTCGGCAAACAGCTTGAAAACTTAAGACAAGACACGAAACGCAAACACAGAGTTTATCTGCTTTTGCGGAATATAGTCGAAGCAAGTTGCCGTAGTAAGTCAGCGTCGTAGTAAAGTACTCGGCAGCTAATCGACGGAGCTTTGCAACATCCAGATAAGATTTCCAGGTCCAAGAAAGACTAATTAATCCTTATCGAGACGTTTCCTCGTAGTTTAACGCCACGATGCAACGTTTTCAGCGAATCCAATGATTTAACGTTAGTTTGCCAAATGGAAAAATGCTTTCCTACATAGACGACCTACATAGACATTACGGTGATCTAAAAGTTTCGTGGATTACGTTATCTTTACGATATGATATTCTAACGACGTTCGATTCGCCAGCGGATTTATCGTCAAGGAAGCTACGTATGTTTGTTCGAACACGGTAAACACTTTTCCGTACTTATCCCAAGGAGGAGGAGCGGGCTAAATATAAGCGAGACAGAACGACCAGCGAATAAACGAGATAGAACGAACCGAAATACCGTGGCTTTGGGTTTGCTAGATCGGAAACAACGATGACCTGTTCGTTGAAATATCCACGAGCGAGTCGAAGGAGCTTGTTATTTTCACTAATGGAAAAACTGCTTACACGATCCAATTTATGTTATCGGCGAAATCCTGCGAGGCGTAAGTTACACGAGGCACGTTTTCTCATTTTACAGCACAAATCTCGTTCTTTGTATTTTAACGATTACGTCTCGATCCTTTGTCTTCCTTTTCTTTTCCGAGGCAACGTGTATACGATTGCCATCCTGTACGGAACTAGAATCGAACGATCTACGTAAGAATCTACTGCCGGTACAAGTTTTTCGTTATCGAAGTTCGCGGCGATGTAACATCGTCGAAAAGCCAACAGCTGGAAATGGTGGTAAGATTTCCACTAACAAGCGTTCGCGTTACTACGAGTGCCGCGGATATTCTTCCTTTCTTGGCATGGGACTCTGATCAGCCGAGTCCACTGTCAGCATTTCATTTTTGCGTAGATTAAATCGATTAGATAAGAGGAGAAATAAGGACAGAGGCGACACACAGGCTGCACCGAATCTTTCCAACTTAATATGTTTATGCAATTTATTTGTGTATTTCAGTTACGGCATATCAAAGTTTCCAGTAAACGATTTATCAAATTCGATAGATAAAATTATTTTTCATTTTTCAAATATAACGTATATCATATGCGTGGCTGCTAAACGTTTGAATTTCTTCCGAGATCGTGATCGAATTACGCGAGAAAAATATCGTAATCGTAATAATAATCAGAATTGTATAATACCTCTCAGAAAGATAAAATAATGTTTGTAGAAGAGTCGCAGGCGATTAGAAAATCGTCTTGGCTCGCTTCATCTTTAGAAAAGTTATCTGCCTGATCTCGATAAAGAGCTAAGATCGACGATATTAATTAAGAAAATTTTCCAAGGAAGATTCTCTGTACGATAAAAAATGGGATCGATTAAATGATCAAATAAAGAAAAAATCCGTTGTGTGTGGTCTAATATCTGAAATAGCGATTTTATTCTCCCGAACCGTCCATTTTGTCCATTTATCAAGAATACGAAATTTAGATTCGAATCTAAGTCGATTCCTTATCGATCGGACATTTGCTACGTGGAATTATCAAATTTGATTAGTCGGATATCTCAAAATCTCATCAACACGAATCTCCAGTTTCATGGAAAAAGATATATCCAACTGAACAACTCGACGTCGAAATCTTTTCAAGCGTTAAATAATTTTCCCAAAAATGGATAAATTCTATCGCACAAGTTCAACATTAATAAAACGTCCGGATTTCTCTAGACTCTCGGCATCCGATGTAGCGGAATCTCATCATCCTCTATTAATACAACAATTAAATGGTTATCGCGTGTCGGATGAGTGCACAGAACGAATCGTCGAAAGCGTACGATAGCGAAATAACATCGAGGAATCGAGCCACTCGAACGCAAAGTCGTGTCTCGCGAAATCCACCTGTTTCTCTTTCTAAGCGCGATGAATACCATCGCGATTAATTAGCCGCGAGCATCTCGTTATCAGATAACGATTTATTTGTTCGTCGTACAGCCGATGACTCGATCTATCCGGCAGAGAAGAGCAAAGTCGATTATCATTCGTCGTTCTGTCATGGAATTTCCCTATTTCTTCTTTAGATTCACCATCGAACGCTTTCAGCTTCTTGTTTTTAATTTCGACTCTTTTACAAAGTTGCGTAATGTCAAATACGCTGTCATCCAGTATTTTTTTTTCTTTTTCTCTTTTTTTTCCTTTTTTCGAGATAAGCTGACGTATTAGGAATTTCCTGTGCTTTTTATCTTTTAGGCAAAATTGTACGACACAGACTATCGTGCAATAACGATCGAACGAAGAAAAATAAAGATGATACAAGGAAAGTAAGAGATAAAATTTTAGATTTCTCGGACATCTTAAAACGATAGATAAGGTAAACTTGAAAGTTACATGTTTTTTTACAGATATTCTTCGCAACAACATTTTTATTTTCATCGATGAACATCGCAGTCGTCGTATTACGTATCGTAACCCTAGACTTTGTCGTTGGGAAATAACGTTCGTTTTATAAATTTAAACGATCGATACTTGAATGCGATATGAAGAAGAGGAATGAAAATTCTACCACACGTTTGTAACGATTTTCTTATTAAATCTGGTTGGTTTACCAATTGAAAGATTATCATATCGAATACGACGCGACCGGTAAGAATAGAAAGAGAATTGGTGTACGAAGAATACCAGAAATATCAGGAAAGTCGTCGAAGAAGAATTCAGGAAGAATTAGAACGACTTAAAGACGCTCTGTTGTAATCCGCCTAAATAATTTCTTAATGCATCGATCGTCTTACTTTAAGAACGTACAGCAGCAGCAGAATTTTTTAATTCTACGTACAACTGATAGTTCTTAGCATC